TTTTTCCTATACCTGTTTGTGCCTTTCCTAACCTGCGGAATATATATTTTTTGCGCTTCTAGGATCGTAGTTTTAAATAGTTTCCAAGCTTCCCCAATGGTTTCGACCTTTTCTACTTTTCCTTTCAGTTTCCTCCCCACATGTCCCCTCATATCAGAGAAGTTACCCCTTTTAAAGTTAAAAATGGTTGTGTGAGTCTTTTTTTCCAATTCCCTATTTATACAAATGTTGAACTCAACAACATTATGATCACTGTTTGCCCCTGTAACAATTGAAGTATGAAACAACTAAATTCACTGTATCTCAGAGACACCTTCACTGTGCTAATACCATAATGTGAGATAATGGTTACTGACATATGGTATGGTCTGTCAAAAGTGTGGTCCAGTATGAAGAAGTATGGTACTGAAAGCTACTTTATTGGATGCATCTAGCCCTTTCTGCTCATCTGAGAGGAGAGGCGCTATTTAGCACTGATACCACCCATGGACGTATTTTTCCCTACCAGTGTGTGGGCAGTGACATGTTGAGGGAAGAAGGATGCCTTGCAGTTCCCTACTGCAGTTTTTACTGCTGATTGATGTGGGGGATCCCAGAGCATTATCCAGAAAGCATGGTATCACTCTGAACCTTGACTGCCTTGATGCGTTATTCTCCCCATGGCCAGTTCTCTCCCCCAATCAATCTTAATTGGCCTATCATGCGAGCTGATTAAGAGGGCTAGTGTGTGTGTAAAAATATACAAAATGATAATACAGGGATAGATATTACTCTTTAAGAACATAACATTTATATTGACCACTTCTTATTAATGTATCCTGGAAGATTCCCCCTCTAAATCGTTATAGTCCAAGTTGTCATCACTTTCTGAGAGATGTAAAATGTGTGTGTGTGTGCAAAAGGCATCAACTCTTTTAAGTTGCAGCTTTTAATTTTAATATTCATCCATGGTGAAGCCTGAAAACTACTCCTCATTTGCTATCTTTGTTGAGTTGAGGGTACTGGTGGTCATCTATAAAAATTCCGATTTCTTTCCTTAAGAAGTCTAACACCACCCTCAAAACTCCCTATAGATCAAGCCGGGTACAGAATCCAAGACTGAAGACAGTCACCAAGTAGCATGCTGCACTCAAGCAGCCACATCAGAACTACCTGCAACTCTGGAGAATCTTGAACTTAAAAAGGAAGACAAGGAGATTGATCTGGTATGTACTGAAATATCCTCTCATTTTGTCTAGAAGATGATGCACTGGTGATGTGGTTAGTGGTGGAATTTGTTATCATTTCGTTCATACACCATCAGGTGCTATTTTTCCCAATAAGACCTTGTGAAAAGGCAGTGCTTACTTCCCAAAGTAAAAGGTGCCAGGTTGAAGTTCAACTAAATATTTAATCATTTGATCTAGGAGTCCTGCTACCTTGATCTCATATCAGTAAATGTCTTGCCAGATACTGTTTTACCTGAGGCAGGGGTCCTTTAAAGGGTTTGGATAGCTAAATGAACTCACAGAGGCAAGATATTTGTAATGTGAATGTGGGTTTTTAAAAAAAATCAAAATGCAGAGACAGTTTCTTATATCCTTCTTAGACACTGGGTGCTTCTTACAGCAGTGCTCTGAGCCTGGTTCCATAGCATCTCCTAGTCTCTGGTGAAGCCCACTTTCTACTTCTTCCTCTTCCTTCTTCATACTCTCCTCAACCTGCTAAATGCACTGTCCCAGGACTAATGATTCTTAACAACATCTGGCAGTCTGCTAGGCCATGCTAGCATAGGGGTAATCCTTATGGTATTGCAAAAAAGAGTCCATTTTCATGATGTTACTATGAGCACCCACATGTGGGCTCATTTTGTCAGATTCTTCCTCAGGAGTATTCTTATTTTCTTCAAGGTTAGCAGCCTCCTGTTGCAAGCCAGTCCTGAGCCTCTTCTCCGATGCATAAGCCTTCTGGGGTTTTTTGCTTGCAAAAATGCTCTCTACTGAAAACTTGAAACTAACTCTACTTTAAGAAAACCATTCACAATCATTCCATGCAGCTGTGTGTTAGATCTCTCTTTCTTAAAGATAAAAAACACAATATAACACTATTCAAAGGCTCAGGACTGGCTTGCTTGCAATATGAGCGCTTAGGTAGTTAATAAGAGGTAAGTTCTTAATAATAAAAGCATCACATATTTTATATTTAAAATGCATCCTAAAAGTGCAAATTATATATGGTTTCAGCCCATAACAACTTTGACCAGTGCTGTATTGTGTTTCATACCTTTAAGGAAGAGATATCTAACACACAGCTGCATGGAATTACAGAGAATAGTTTTTCTTAAGTAGAGTTTTTTGTAGAGAGCATTTTGTCAGTGTAAAAAACAGAAGACTCTTGCATCTAGCTGGGTTTCGAAGAGGTAGAGGAACTAGAGATCAAATTGCCAACATCCACTGGATTATGGAGAAAGCAAGAGAGTACCAGAAAAACATCTACTTCTGCTTCATTGACTATGCTAAAGCCTTTGACTGTGTGGATCACAACAAACTAGGGCAGGTCCTTAAAGAGATGGGAGTACCAGACCACCTCACATGTCTCTTGAGTAACCTGTATAAGGGTCAAGAAGCGACAGTTAGAACCGGATATGGAACAACTGATTGGTTTAGCATAGGAAAAGGAGTACGACAAGGATGTATATTGTCACCTTGCTTATTTAATATATATGCAGAGTACATCATGCGAAATGCTGGCCTGGATGAATCATAAGCGGGAATTAAGATTGCTGGGGAAAAGATCAACAACCTCAGATATGCAGACGATACCACTCTAATGGCAGAAAGTGAAGAGGACCTAAAGAGCCTCTTGCTCAGGGTAAAAGAGGAGAGCGCAAAAGTGGGCTTGAAGCTCAACATCAAAAAAACTAAGATCATGGCATCCGGCCCCATCACTCCTTGGCAAATAGAAGGGGAAGCTGTGGAAGTAGTGACAGACTTCACGTTCCTGGGATCCCAGATCACCGCAGACTGTGACTGCAGCCATGAAATTAAAAGACGCCTGCTCCTTGGGAGGAAAGCGATGGCGAACCTAAACAGCATGATAAAAAGTAGAGACATCACCCTGCCAACAAAAGTCTGCATGGTTAAAGCAATGGTATTCCCAGTAGTCATGTATGGCTGCGATAGTTGGACTATAAGGAAGGCCGAGCGCCGAAGAATAGATTCTTTTGAACTATGGTGCTGGAGAAGACTCTTGAGAGTCCCTTGGACTGCAAGAAAATCAAATCAGCCAATCCTAAAAGAAATCAACCCTGACTGTTCCCTGGAAGGCCAAATAATGAAACTGAAGCTCAAATACTTTGGCCACCAAATGAGAAGGGAGCGCTCACTGGAGAAGACCCTGATGCTGGGAAAGATTGAAGGTCAAAGAAGACGGGGACGGCAAAGGATGAGATGGTTAGACAGTGTCATCGATGCAATGAACATGAGACTGAGCCAACTTCAGAGGACGGCAGAAGACAGGAAGGCCTGGTGGGATCTGGTCCATGGAGTCGCGAAGAGTCGGATTCGACTGTGCGACTGAAAAACAACAACAAGATTTTTTTGTTTTTTGTATAGAGCATTTTGTCAGTGTAAAAGACAGAAGACTCTTGCATCAGAGAAGAGGTTCAGGACTGGCTTGCTCCCAGTATAAACACTTAAGTGGTTATTAAGAGGTATGTTCTTAATAATATTCTATGATATTGGAAATTATTCAGTTCTATTAAGCTCTGTGTTGTGTCTTGGCTTAGTAACCATGGTTCATTAAGGGATGATAATTTTGAAGAAAATAAAATACTCCTTATGTCTGTAGAGAGCATTTGCCAGTTAAATTCAGAAGGTTTTTGCATCTGTTTAGAGAAGAGTTTAATGACTGGCTTGCTCTCAATATAAACACTGCAACAGCTTTGAGTAGTGTTATATTGTGTTTTATATCTTTAAGAAAGAGATATCTAACACACAGCTGCATGGAATGATTGTGAATGGTTTTCTTTAAGTAAGAGTAAGTTTTAAAATTTTAGTAAAGAGCATTTTGCCAGCAAAAAACCCAGAAGGCTTGTGTATCAGAAAAGAGGCTCAGGCCTGGCTTCCTCCCAATATAAGCACTTAGGTGGTTATTAAAAGGTAAGTTCTTAATAATATTGGAAAATATTCAGTTCTATTCAGCTCCCTGTTGTGTCTTGTTTTAAGTAACTGTGGTTCATTCCAGGATGATAATTTTTAAGAAAATACTCCTAAAGCTTGTAGAGAGAATTTTGCCAGCCCAATTCAGAAGACTTTTGCATCTGTTTAGAGAAGATTTTAAGGGCTAGCTTGCTCCCCATATAGACACTGAGTTGCAACAAGAGGCTGCTAACCTTGAAGCAAGACAAATGTGGACAAACACAGCCTAATCAGAGAGAACAAGTATAAAGAAAACAGTTGTGAGTGTCTGACCCACAAACCAAGCAGTCAACAAGACTTTCAAAGAAAATGCTTACTAGGTATTACAGTCTGAAGCACTACAACACAATAAATCAATAAATCAATTCCTACAAATCATAAGAAAATCTTAGTACAAAGGTACATCATCAACGTCATCTCCGGATTATATAACAATGTTTCAAAATCGGATCTTCCTTAGGAAATGTTAATGTAGTACAAAAGTTCTCTTGTTCGTAAAGTGCTTACAACAAGTCATGAAAGATAATACATTCAGATAGGACGCTGATCTCAGCATACTTGAGCCTGAACATTTACTGAGATCAGCGTCCTATCTGAATGTATTATCTTTTATGACTTGTTGTAAGCACTTTATGAACAAAAGAACTTTTGTACTACTCTAACATTTCCTGAGGAAGATACAATTTTGAAACATTGTCATATAATCTGGAGATGACGTTGATGATGTACCTTTGCAGTAGGATTTTCTTATGACTTGTAGGAATTGATTTATTGTGTTGTAGTGCTTCAGACTGTAATACATAGCAAGCGTTTTCTTTGCAAGTCTTGTTGACTGCTTGATTTGTGGGTCAGACACTCACGACTGTTTTCTTTATACTTGTTCTCTGCTAACCTTGAAGAACATAACAATACTCCTGAGGAAGAATTTGATGAAACGAGCCCACATCCAGGTGCTCATGGCAACATCTTGAGGATGGACTCTTTTTTGCTATACCATAAGAATGTACTTCTTTATAATGTGATATAAGACTGATATGTTGATTACAAAATGTTTTGCTAAATGTGTTAGCCAGGATATTACAGTGTTTGTTTGTTATATTTTCTGTGTTATACACTGTGATCCCAGGTTCTTGTTTTTTTGGCTTGGGGGTAATGCCTGCATCTGGAGCTCTGAACCCTTTATTAGGAAGGCTGAATGACTAAAATGTGTCAATAATCCTGTAGCTACTTATAGTTATGGAATTTAATTGCCAATATGCTGGAAGCTGGAATAAGGTCAACACACCATCCCAAATCCGGGGGGGGGGCAGTTCTTTTGTGTTGGAGCTACAGTGTGTGCAGCTGCTTTAAGTAGTGATTTAGGCATGTGGTCAGGTCACTCTTTACTATTACTACATCTGTGCAAATAAGTTTGGGGTTAATGTTTAGGAAGCCTTTGTTTAAATGAAAACTGTGTTTTTCAAAGGGAGCCAAGACAAAGGAGATTAGCTGTGGAGATGAGCTGTGCAAGATACAAGCCAGCTTGTAATAGCAGATCATTTTATGTGAACATCTCTGCTGTAGAGCCGTGGACAGACTTGTGGAAAACAGTGACTTCTATATAAGAAAAGCAGAGAATGGCTGGGGCTGCACAACCTCTCATTACCTTCACTAAAAATTTCTGCAGGACAAGCTGAAAGGTACTCAGGCCACCAAAGCCCAGCCCAGGCAGGTGGCATCTCTTCCCTCTGCTAAATCACGTATGGAAGGACAAGCACCATCTAACACTGCAGGGAGCTTTCATCCTGTGGTAAAGGAAGACCCTATGCCGGTATGAACAGACTGATTTTCTTGCTTTGCCAGGGAGTACACTGATGAGCTAGGCTAGGAAGTAATTGGTATCTTTATTCTGTGTAAAACAGGGTCTTTTTCTCCAGTACTTAGTTGTAACCGTAGAGTTGTTTGGGGGAATGGTAGCATAAGCACAGAAGAGCCATGCTGGATCAGAGCAATAGTCCATCTAGTACAGCATCCTGTCTCACACAGTGGCCAACCAATTCCTCTGGACAGCCAACAACAGGGCACAGAGGCCAAGACCTTCCACAGATGTTGCCTTCTGGCTCTGGGATTCACAGGTTTAGTGTCTCTGAATGTGGAGGTTCCCCTCAGTCACCATTTATTTATTTTATTTTATTTTTTTGGATTTCTATCCCGCCCTCCCTGCGCACGTGCTCAGGGCGGTGTACATTTAGCAGCACTATGTGCCGAGATACATTAAACATATAAAACCAGATAAAAACAAGATAAAACAATCATATTATTACAATTAAAAGGGTTATAGAATTGATCTTCCAATTGCGTTAAAGATGGCATCCTGTGGATGGACACAAGTCCCAATTCAGCCGTATCTGCCTCATACATTACTGCAGTTCAGTCTCCATATAGGGCCAACCAACTACCCTGGTGTTACTAACAATAATAGTTGCTGGTAGTGGTGGGCGGCTCCTAATTGAAAGCCTGGTGGAAGAGCTCCGTCTTGCAGGCCCTGCGGAACTTGCCAGAAGGTGCTTATAGGAGGGAAATACATTGCTGGGTGTGAATTCTCAGTTTAATGTGCTTTCCTGGCACAAGAGCTGCTTTGAATTTGTAAATAGGCATATCCACTTTTTACCTCATGGCTTTTATTGCTGCAAACACTGTTTTATATGCAGCAAATACACTTGACATGGAAAATGTGAATTCATTCATTGATTGCAGAATTAATTGGTCTTATGAGAAAATGGTTGTTTCAGTGCACTCTTAGGGTACCCATTCAACATTTGTTATTGGCTTCACGTTCATGGCTGATGTTTGCTCTTTGTTCATTCTCTACACCTGCAGTACCTCTTGCCCCTCCGTTAACAAGACTTCCCTCAGAATTTCCCTGATACTTGATCTGAGGAAGAATCCTCTAATTTATTGTTAAATATATTTCAGGTGATATTTTGTTTGAACAATAGGCACATAAAAGAATCCTCAGAAAATATGATGGAATGAGATTTCATCATATTTTCAGAGGATTTTCTTATGGACCTTATTTTACTGTTAGCGAAAGAAAAGTAACAGTACCAGGGGTCATTTCATAGAAAAAGAGGTACAGGAGCTCATTAGCATAACTCATTAGCATAACTGAGGCGGTGGGCCAGTAACTGATGGTCAACTGTGTCAAACGCGGCCGACAGATCTATTAGCAACAGTGCCGCCGAACCGCCCCAATCCAGATGTCTCCGGAAGTCGTTCGTAAGGGCGATCAGTACTGTCTCCGTCCCGTGTCCCAGGCGAAAGCCGGACTGGAAAGGGTCTATGACAGAAGCGTCATCCAGGAAGCCCTGCAACTGTATTGCCACCGCCCTCTCAATTAATTTGCCCAAATAGAGCAAATTGGAAACCGGCCGGTAGTTGGCCAATTCGGCCGGATCCAGAGTTGGTTTTTTCAAGAGGGGACAGACTATCGCTTCCTTGAGTGCCACTGGGAACCGTCCCTCAGAGAGGGCCTTGTTGACAATCTCCCTTAGGGCCCCTTGAAACCCCCCGTGGCCCACTTTAATGAGCCAGGAGGGGCATGGATCGAGGCTGCATGTGGTTGGGCGCACAGACACAAGTAATCTGTTGGCTTCCTCCAGGCTGAGCAGGCTAAAACATTCCAAACCCGGAGTCGAAGACATGCAGGGGGCCTCGAGTTCACTCATTGTATCAACTGTAGCGGGGAGGTCGTGGCGGAATGCCAAGACTTTATCCGCGAAATAGCTTGCAAATGCCTCACTGCCGATATCCAATTCCCTAGCATTTTGTCTGCCCTGTGGCAGAGCTGTTAACAACCGAATCGTTCTAAACAATTGGGCTGGCCGTGAGCTACCGGACACAATTGAAGCCGCATAGAACTCTCTCTTAGCGGCCTTGACTGCCATCTCATAGGATCTCATAAACGTCTTATACAATGTTCTTGTTGCCTCGTTGCGAGCACGATGCCACCGTCTCTCTAGCCATCTTAGCTCTCGCTTCATAAGCCACAGCTCCTAGGTGTACCAGGGAGCCAGCCTAGAGCGGGAGCGCAGAGGGCGCCGGGGAGCGATCTTGTCGATGGCTAGTAGCCACTGATAGACTTATCCTCTGTGTATCTAATACCTTTTTAAAGCTGTTTACTCCTGTGGCCATCACTACATGCTCTGGCAGTGAATTCCACATTTTAATCACTCTCTGTATAAAGTAATGTTTCCTTTTGTCTATCCTGACCCTACTGCCCATCAGCTTCATTGGATGCCCTCAAGTTCTAGTATATTGGGAGAGGGAGAAAAAATTATCTTTGTCAACTCTCTCCACCCCATGCATAATTTATAAACTTCTATCATGTCCTCCCCTCAGTCATCTCTTTGCTAAACGAAAAGTCCCAGACTCTTCAGCCTTTCCTCATAGGGAAGGTGCTCCAACCCCCTAATAATCTTGGCTGCCCTCCTCTGTCCTTTTTCCAGGTCTGCAATGTCCTTTTGGAGATACGGTGACCAGAACTGTACAGAGTATTCTAAATGAGGCTGCATAATAGATCTATACAAGGGGCATTACAGTATTGGCTGTTTTATTCTCAGTCCTCTTCGTAATAATCCCTAACATAGAGTTTGCCTTTTTTTACCACTGCAGTGTACTGGGTTGACGCTTTCATTGAACTATCCACTGTGATCTCAAGATCTTTTCCTCTCTCCGTCTCACCAAGTTCAGACCCCATTAGCCTATACTTGAAGTTGAGATTTTTTGTCCCAGTATACATCACCTTACACTTACCAACACTGAGCTTCATTTGCCACACTGTTGCCCACTCACCCAGTTTGTGGAGGTCCCCTTGGAGCTCTTCACAATCAGCCTTAGTTTTCACCATCCTGAATAATTTTCTGTCATCTGCAAACTTGGCCACTACAATACTGGCCCCTAGTTCCAGATCATTCATGAATAAATTAAATAGTACCGGCCCCAATACCAATCCTTATGGGACCCCACTGTTTACTTCTCTCCATTATGAAAACTGTCGATTCCTACTCTTTACTTCCTGTCTTTTAACCATTTTTTAATCCATAAGAGAACCTGTTATTTTTAAAGTGAACTTTTCAAGAATGAAGAAAAAAGAAAGAGATTATTGGAACACCCATTGATCATCAAAAAAAACTCCAGAGCTCAATACTCATTCTCTTTCAGCTTGTCAAACGCCTTCTGAAAGTCGAGGTATATAATGTCTTCCAGGTCTACGTGCTTGTTCACTTTCTCCCAGGCTACTCCCAGTCTTGCTAACAGTTCTATGGGTATTTTCATAGGGTCAGTATTCTTTGTCTTTGATTTTTTTAAAGCATTTCTGGGATATGTCTCATGCAAATATATAGGCCTTCCCGTGATCTGTTGTAGTCCAAAACCAGAATGAGCAGTGGGTTATATGTGCTCCACAAGCTTTTATTTGATTTTTGAGAATTTCTTTTACGGGTAGTGTGTTTTAGTTCTTGAATAAATGCCTTGTACATTTAGTAGTGCCAGATTCCTTCCTACAGTGGAACAATACAGCTTCTCGTCCTATCAGGCTGCTGAAGCACATCATAGCCTGGCTGCCTCTCTTGCATTTGCTGAAGCAGCTACTGGAAAACAAGCACCTTCTGAGACTACGAAAGATTCTCATCTTGTGGTAGAGGAAGAGCTGGTATAAACAGCCTTTCAGCTAATCTTTTTGCTTTGCCAGACAAGCACATTGCTGAGTTAAGCCAGTATGCAGCTGGTATTGCCCTTGTTCTCTGCGGTATAAAAGCTTTATATCTCATTGCTTATTTGTGGCTATACAGTTTGGTAGAGAGTCACTGCCAATCCTGTTGATAGTTCTGTATTTTCATGGGATTATGGATTCTATACTTTTTGGTTTCTCAGTTTTCTGGCACTGATAACTGCCATGGTTTGGAGTAATCCAGTCCAGGGTTAAGTGCAGTGGTGATGGATCTACGTTTGGTTTTGGAAATCGGTAATAAATCTATAATCTATAATAATCTATAATAAAGTTTCCAAGACTCATAATAGTCTTTGGGATAGGTGCAGATCACAGATGGCAAGTCTGGGTTGCACAGGAGGGGAGGAAATAGAATAAAAGAATATGTAATGGGAATTCTATGATACTATGAAGTCAGTTCTTGATTCAAGGTAAAACTAAAAATATATCTGTTGATGTGAGATCGTTACAGTCATTCCTGAGCAAGCTGTACATGTTAATGTTGTTCTGCCAATGAAAAGATAAGATAAGGAACAAAGGGAAAAATAGGTTGTACAGGTTAAGACTTACTGTAGTTTAGATATTAGCTGATAATGAACTGTTAATGTTTACTAAGCTTCCTACGATGCAGTCTATATTAGTCTGTTAAAAAGATATAAAACTGCTGTTGCTTCTTTGTAAACCTTGGGAGAAACTTGTAATGTTTCTCCCTGCTCTAATGCATTAAAGCTGTGCTTTTTCCTTCCAAAATCGGTCTCCCTTGTTTGTATTACTGGCTTATGCATATGAGGGTCTCCCTATTGGGCCAACAGTGGGAGGGGAATGTTGTGTTCCACAGGCTCTTGTTTGAATTTTGAGAAACAAGGATACTGAAGCCCGTTCCTATCAGGCTGCCTCTCTTTCATCTGATGGAGCACCTATAGGAAAACAAGCACCATCTAAAGTCAGAGAAAAGTGTTCATCCCATAATAAAAGAAGAGCCTGTGCTCTTGTGAACAATTTGTTTTTATTCTTTTTCTGGGAAAGCATATTGGTGAAGTAATTGGTACTTCCATTGTTCTATTCAGTGTGAGATATTTTTCTCCACATTAACTCTCACTATAGAATTGTTTGGGTGAGTCTACTGACAGTTTCTCGTAATAATTCTGTGACTGTTTTCATTCTTTAGCTTTGGCTTTTCACTGCTTTTGGAACTGATATTTTCTTTGTGCAAATATAAGGGCCTTTTTATAGTCTACTCTGGAGTAGTTCGAAAGGGTATTGAGCTTTGTTTTTTGATGATCAATGGGTGTTCCGATGATCTCTTTCTTTTCCCTTGAATCTTGATAAGTTCACTTTAAAAATAACATTTTTCTAGTACTTGAAATCATTGAGATAAGCTTAAGAATAAAATAATAATTATTGGGAAGTTGTGCACAAAGTATTTGAGGAACTGGCGAAGGCATGTTCGTACCCAAAAGTTCTTTCTTAAATAACATTATTTTGCACCAGAGGGCTAACTAGGACTGCTGAAAGTCTATTCAAATCAATAGGACATAAGCAAATAACTATGTGTTTAACTTTCTCTTGATTATACTAATTTTGTATTCCCCAATTTATTTTCCTTTAGTTAACATTCCAGAATATTATTACAATATAAGAAGCATAGTGATTTCTCCAGCCTTGGCTTTGTTATCTGTTGTGATCATAAAAATGTATGACCCTTCATAAGTATAATGTTCCTTGTAGGATTTTGATACTCGCTGTTACTTTCCATTTTGGCTGTAGTATTGGAGCAACTTTTTCCCTCCTCTGTCTGCAGGTGCCAGAAACCAAACAGGATATGAATATTATTACCTTGACAGATCTTTCATCTGTTACTGAACTGTCCACACCTTCATGTGCTGTTGAACCACCAGCTCGTCTTGAGACTACGGAAGCCCTTCTTTCCTTGGGAAGGGAAGAAGATGAACTGGTACGGCTTTGCTGGCTAATTCTTTCATTCTTTATGTGAAGATGCCCAGCAGAAATCCATCTAGAAACATTTTGATAATAAAGCTTGTAATCATAATGGGTTTCAACTCCAAATGTTATTATCCCATCTCCTCTTTACCTGTAGCCACTCCTTCACCTTCCCATCTCCTGAGTTTTTAATATTTTCTTCCCTTATACTAAATGTGTATTTTAGGCCTGCTATACTTACTCCTTTTCTCATTTGAGGAGAGGCTGACATCCTGACATTTGGGTACTCCTTTTCACACAATCCCTGGAGGCAGGATATTAGGTATTTCTTCCACCACCACCCCTGAGGAAAGGAGTACCTCTGTTGCACGTGCGGGACTTGGAAGGAGCTCCAGTTGTCTTTTGGCCTTTTTGTTGCAGAGTTCCTTTTTAGGTCATCCTAAGTGACCTGTGATTCCATCTGGAGGAATAAGCCCTTGAGAAGAGTAGGACAAGATAATGTATTCTTTCAGCCACCTGCTGAGAGATGCTGTTGCAGGCAGTGACTAGGTCCCCTGTCTCAATTGTCTTAAACTTCTTTCTGCTTTTACTGTTATCATTAAATGTTGTTTCTTCTCTGAAATAGGGTGGTCCTTCTGGCCTTGTCCCATAGTTGTTTAATCTTCAGGTTAAGTCCTGTTGGCAGCAACATACAACAACACACTTTATGGTTTTCCGTGGAAAGCTCTGGTAGCCTCTGAACTGAAGAAGGAGGTACTCCTTTCCTCAGGGGTGGGAAGAAAATGACCTAATATCCTGCCTCCAAACATCAGGATGACCACCTCAACCTGAAATAGAAGGAACCTTCAGACTAAGTTCAGAGTTCCTTTCTAGGATCAATATGTATATCAGATTATTATCTCAACATGTGGTAAATCAGTCTGACCAGTTAGATCAATTTAGAAGTTACTAGGAAGTGGGGGGAAAGTACACTGAGGAAGTACACAAATTTGATAACTAGGGATGGGCACGAACCATGTGACGAGCCAAAATCTGAACCAAACTCTGCCCAGTTCACGGCTCGTGCTGAAGTTTGGCAATCACGTGTTCGCTGAACAAATCTCCGAGCTTTTGGGTGTTTCTTAGAGTGGCTTGGAAAATGAAACCCACCCGGAACCTTTGGCATGGAAATGAAATGGGAGGGGGTGATCTATATAAGTTTAGGGCGTGCAGGCATTTGATTTGTTGGTGCTGGGGTTTGGGGCGGAGAGGGTGCACTCGCACAGAAGAGTTTTGCTGCTGGGCATGGAGGGGGGATTCCCAGTTCTCCATTTTGAACCCCCACCTGTTTGTCCTTCGGGTGGCATCCGTGTGTCCAGAGACTTACTGGGGTGACACTGCCTGCTAGCTTTCGCTTTCCAAAGCCCCATCATTGACCTATTGCCTTTGGGGTGGTGTCTGTTTGTGTGTGTCCAAAGACTTACTGGTGATCTTGCCTGCCAGCTCTTGCTTTCCAAAGTCCCAGCACTGACCAGATTGTCCTTGAAGTGACATTGACTCATGACTGGGATTTTTTTTTTACTTTGAAGCGTGAGAGTTTATCTAAGGCTGTGCATTGTGAAAGTCTCTTGGTATGGCTTCAGAACCTTTAGGGCCAAAGCAGACCTGACAGTTCCATGAATGAAGCTCCCAAAACGTCTTGTTGTTTAAATAGTAGGTGCAGAAGACCCAGTCACCCGCAACAGAGCGAGTGGCTCCCGGGCCCCAGGCATGGTGGGTAGGTTGGCCTTGCCCATTTATCACCTTGCCAGTGGGGGGAGGGTGGGCCTGGGGGGACACAGCCACCCACAAACTGTGCAGGTGGTTCCTGGGCCCCGGCAGTAACTGGAGGGTTGGCCCTGGCCAGCAATCACCTTGAACACGGTGAGAGGATGGGCCTGGGGAGATGCAGCCACCCGCAACTGTGCAGGTGGTTCCTGGGCCCTGGACCAGTGGGAGGGTTTGCTGTACCCAGTAATCACTTTGACAGTCTGCAGAGGGTAGGAGGGAGGGTGAGCATGGGGAGAAGCAGCCACTCACAAGCGTGCAGGTGGCCCTCGGGTGGGGTGAATGGTCTGGCTGGCCCTGCCCACTGATCACATTTTCAGTTACACAGAGTGTGATCTGGTCTGTACATTCCTGAAGCCATGCCTGACATCTCCCCTAAAAGCACTTTCTTGGAGTTACTTTGGGGGTCCATAACTCAGACCCCCCCCCAGTCAAAATCTGGTAGGGCATGTTGGGTGGCATCCTGGAGAGGTGCACCATGAGTTTGATGCCTCTCGCTCACACAGGATCTATTCTATACTCTCCTGAAGTCGTGTCTGACATCTTTCCAAAAAGGACTTTCCTGGGGGCTCCTTGTTTGGGGGTCTGTAACTCAGACCCCCCCAAGTCCAATCCACATGTGACTTGTAGGGCATGTGGGAAGGCACCCGGGGAGTTGCGCCACAAGTTGGATGTCTCTAGCTCACACGGGGTCCATTCTATATATATCAGTCTTGGGGGTGGGATCCAAGTTACAGAACCCCAAACAAGGCACCCCCAGGAAAGTACTTTTCGGGGAAATGTCAGGCACAGCTTCTCCCGAAGCTGTGCCTGACATTTCCCCGAAAAGTACTTTCCTGGGGGTGCCTTGTTTGGGGTTCTGTAACTTGGACCCCACCCCCAAGACTGATCTTCACCAAACTTGGCAGACAGGTAGAGGAGAATCAGCTGGAGACACCCTGTGATTTTGGAGCCTCTAGGACCCAAGGGAAACCCCACACACACACTCCCCAAACTGGTTCTGTTAGCAAACCAAGCTGGTGCGAAGTTTGGGTTCACAAACCTGTTCAGGACACGCACAAGTTCAGTTCATGAACTGAACTGGGGTTTCCTGGTTCATGCCCATCCCTGTTGATAACTAAAAATAAGAGGTATCTTTATTACTTCATTGCTTTTCTCAACTGTTAGGAAATAAGAGAAAAAACTCCAGTTCAGGCAACAAGAATGAGGTACCTAACTTTAAAAAAAATTCAGAACATAGGGTTTGGCCATGAACAAGACAATATATAAAACTATTACTAATTCCAGTGAATGGGTGTTTTCTTAAAAATAACAAACTAAAACAGAACAGCTAAAAATGTCTACTTGTCAGGCACCCCAACTGTTTTCTTTTAATTCAGGGAACCTACTCAGGAGAGTCACTGCCTGGTCAGTTTGTAGATTTTTTTTGTTTTGTTTTGGATTTATGTGTATGTGTAAGCCACAAATTAATATAGTCAAGGCTAAACTTTGGAAAATGCTGAAATAGGTCCAATTTCTCTTGGTACCTGAACACACCTCACAGCTGTACACTAGAACTTTCTTTAAGACATGCTTAGAAAGATGGAAGGTCTACCATTAGCTTGGTAACATCAGTGTACCTGGAACTATGTTTCACTCTGTCCTTGTCATTTGTCTCACAAGGGGATTTTTTTACTAGGGATCTGAAAAGGAGAGGAGACCCAGTCATTTCTTGGTGGTTTCACTGTGCACATAACATTAATTAAGCAACAGAAGTGAATACAAAGAAACATTTTTAAGCATTCATATCCACTACAGACAGAGGCCAAGCCCTGTTTGATGCTGTAGAGACCAAGAGATGCTGTACATAGTGGTTTTGGGGTGATGTTCTTGGTGCTGTTGCTTGCTTCTCTGAATTTCTTGCTGCTGGAGCCATGCTTTATAGGTCATTGTGTTCTCATTTCTCAACTTCAGTTCTTGGTTTTCAAGTTGATCTCACAGTCACTGCCCTCTGGTTGATGCCCCATATACTGTTGACTTGTCCATAAGTACTGTGCAGAAGTCCTTGGCTGCATACTCAATTGTGGCTTTGCTGCAGTCCATGCCTTAGTTGGTTTTCACCAGATGTTTTCAGGTGTACCTAAATCTCTTAGCCCACTCTTTAGCTATTTTGTTTCTTCTTTTCCCACACATTCCTCAGTCACACTGTTTAGGTCACATTGACCTCAAATCACAGTGGCATTGATTTGTGTCATGACACTTCATCATCATCATTATGTCAACAGCAAGAGTGTGAGGTTGGAGGCTGTGGCAGTAAAACCATCTCTTAAGGGGTGGTTTACCAACCAAGGGGACGTAAGAAGTTATCTCTAAGTAGGAGTAATCTTATATCTGACCCAATTACAGATTAGAAAATGCATGTAATACCTTTTATCAGGGGTAAAAGAAATGACAAAACGTTTTGCAACATTTCAAGCACACCAGAACCCTTCATCAGGCCAGAATTTACAGATCTAAAAAAATTAGAGGAAAAAAGCAGATATTTCAGGTCATGATCTTAAAACCTAGTTTTTCAAGCCGTTGGTGTGAGATGCTGGCAGGCTAGTTGATTTGCTGCTGATGTTAGAGTACACCACTTGTATACTAGGAAATAGTAAACAATAATGGAGAGTCATCTTGTTGGAAAAATAAAGGCCAGCCATGTCTAAACATCCAACAAAACACATGGAAGATACACAATTTCTTTTGGAGACTGAGAGCAGAAGGATGGATTTGTTTGTGTGTGTGTGTGGTATGAGCGAGATACATTTAAGATGTTGCAGAAGATTTAGTTAATTGAAGCCAAACTGGGTCGTTCCACTTTATGTGTACAGTCATTTCCCAAGGTGTTCCTATCCTATTGACAAATCTTTCTCGACTCAAATTAGTTATCTATAAAGTAGAATAAAAGTATAGCCTGCTGTATTGGTTGGCCCTTGCAAAATCCAGGATAAATGGAACTGTGTTTTTCACATGGATTTTGAGTGGCATTTAGTTTTTGCTGGCCTTTATTTTTCCAATGAGATGACTATTGTTTACTGCTTCTTACCAAAAAGCAAGTAGTGTACTTTAACACCAGCAGCAAATAAATGACAAATGTGCTAGAATCTCAAGCCAAATGGTTGTGAGATTAGGTTTTAAGATCATGATCTGAAATATATGCTTTCCCCCCCCCCCCTTTTTTTTTTTAATATGCTCCCCCCCCCCCCCCAATTTATTTTTATATTGGTTTTTTTAATCCCCGTAAGGGGAAATTTTTTATTGTTTTTTTTAAAGTCTACAAACCTATAACTGAAAATAGGAACTACATCTAAGGAGAAAGAAAAAAGACCCACTACTAACTAAAAACCCAAGAGTAGGAGATCAATACATCAGCTTATATCAATATTATTTTATAAAGCTAGTAAAACAATGAACATAGTCGGTTATGCTAAATTACTTCTATTAGCTATCCCTTTAACTGTTTAAAGAAATCCCCAGAGCATCCCAAAGTTATTTCAACATTTTTTCAGGCACAATTCAGAGTCCTTTAGCCCTTATTTATTCTTATCTTTTCTAATCCTCAGTTTATATGAGCTTTTGGGGGCAGCCACCCCCTTTTCAGAGGGGGGGTCCTCGTCCGATGACCCGAGCCCAATTCGCCATTAGATTTGCTTTCTTCTTCTTCATTTCTGTCCTCTTCTGGTTCCCCAAGCTGTGTTCACAAAAAGTCACGTGCTTTGAAAACAGAGTCAATCTTTTCTTTTTTATCTTGGAGTTTGAAAATGACGCCTTCTGGAATTAGCCATCTGTAACTGATGCCATTTGTTTGTAGGAAAAGGATTAATTCTTTGTAGTTCTTTCTCTTCTGTCTTATGTCAAATGGAATGTCTTTTAAAATCCTGGTGTTGTTGTCTCCAATTTTCAAGGGAACTCCTGTAGTTGCTTTCAAGATAGCAGCCTTCACATGTCTATTCGAAAATCTGACCACTATTTCCCCAGGCAGATTGTTTTTCTTGATGTATGATGAATAGGACCTGTAGACCACATCCATTTCGTTGTATAAGTATTCTGCTGTCCAATCTGTCATTGATGCTATTGCTTCACTTAGTCGTTGCTTCAGATTCTCTCCTTTAATTTCCGGGACCCCTTGAAACCGAAGAACCAAATTTGCTTTCTCCATTTGCAGCTGTAAAAGTTTTGACTCTTCCGTGACTTGCTTCATTTCCAGCTTTTGCATCTTTTTCTTAATTATTTTAGTGTTGGCATCCATTTCCTTCACCTTTTCTCCTATTTGCTCTGTTGCTTTTATAGATTGAGTCAATTGCAACTGCTGTGATGCCAAACTCTGCCCGATTGTTGACAGTTGTAGCTTGATATTAGTCATCTCCTCCAGCAGAGGGCGCAAGGAATCAGCCAACAGTTTTGAGAGCTTGGTAGCCTCTTCTGTTCGAGGACTACTCACTACTTTCGGTTTCAACAGCTTTTCTGTATCCAGTTTCTTCCCCACCATCTTTTTGGATTTGTTTACTTTTCAAAAAGTTGCTCAAGTCTCTGAAATTCGCCCAAACGCTTATCTACGCTCTGGTAAGTCTCTTAAAACAGATTTAAACACTTATTTTTCCGCTCCCCCCTCGTCTGTGTTTCGTCTATGTGGTTTGGAGGAACCCCTCCCCTGCTTGCTTTCCCGTAGCTCTTTTGGGGGGGGCAGCTTTCTTTTTATATCTTCATGCTTGCTTCAACCTGACTCACAGTTCGTTGTTGGCCCATCTGTCCTCGCTCAGCATCGTGGGGGGGGATTCCGCTCGTTCTCCAACGCTTGTCCCGGTCAGCAGCACTCGTACCATACGGTCACTCAGCGGCAGGACCTTCGGGGCGGAGGAGCGCCTCAATTCAGCATTTTGCCATCGAAGAGGTCGCCCTTCAAAAGCCCCCTGGCTAGGAGCCTTTTACCAAGGCTTCGGGGGGGTCGCGACCCGTCGCGCCCCCTCCTACACGCTGGTGTGCAGTTTGCATCCCCGGGACGTCCGGGAGATGCGTCTGCCTGCGTGTCGCCATAACCCGGAAGTCCCATTTTTTTTATATTGTTAATATCTAGCCTGATGTTCTGTTGAGCTCCAAAATTTGCACAATGTTTGTGTAATTTTGGTTGCCACTAGTAAAAAATCCTATTTCTCCAAAGAGTTCTCAATCCCTTATACAATGGCAAGTGAAAGTTTAGAGCTGCCAGACATATACATTAGCAGCTACTTTTCCAAGAAAGAAATGCTGAAAACTTGCACTCTCTCCCTCTCTCCCCTGTATCCTCCTTAACCAAATGCATGGACATGGTCTGCAGTTGTTTAAAAAGCCCATAGGTATGCCAATTAAGCAGTTTCCTCCTCTAACCTGGCTGAAGCAATACACCCGAGTTTATTGCTTCTCCTGTTTTGTTTGTGCATCTTCTGCGAATTCTCCATAGTGTTTGTCTTTTCTCCTTACAACCTTTGCTCTTCCTTTCTTTCCCCTTTTCACATAAACTATCTTAGAGATTGCATCCAGCTCCAACTTACTTCTAAAAACAAGCCTGTTTAGTGAAGGAGGTGGGTAACTAGAATGGGAGAGGTGAGCTGAAGTCTGTGGGGTTTTTTTCTTGTTATTTTAAGATTCTGGATTGCTGTTATGTATAGTCTTAGTAATAGTTTCTATAAGTATATTGTATAAGATGGCTCTTGATGGCCAGGGAGAATGGGGTGAACATTTTTTTTCCATTTTTAAAAACATTCATAAAAATGATCTATTTTTGCTATTTAGAAAATGGGGGGTACCTTTAAAAAAGAATTGAAGGTATTAGTGCATATTTTTGGGCTGTTGTGTTGCGATCTCTTGTCATCCTCCCTGTCTTTTCAGTGCCTTTGGTAGTTGTGATTGAGTTGTCTGTCTGATATCTCTGCCCATGCTTCTTCAGGCAGGTTCTGTATCTCTTCCCTGCTGCTTTATTTTTCCATGGGCGGTATGTGGAAACAAGTTGTTAACACAGATATGATGCATGCATCCCACTGAATGAACAGATCAGTGTTTGGTAGGATTGCCACACAGAGAAGACAAATGCAAAGCATTTGCAAGAACCACAAGTAGGACACAGTGACTGGCCCAAGGTTACCCAGAGATCTTAATGACTGAACCATGTCATAGATTTGGACATGGGTCTCCTAAATCAAGGTCTGACAGTAACCACTATACAGATTCTCTAAAAACAAAAAGGTGCTTTCAGAGCGTGGTCTTTATTTATCTTTCTTACAAAACTTATACCTCACCACTTTGTCCTCATAAGGCGGCTAACAAATTGAATGAAGACAAAGAACAGGCCATTGAGTCACAAGCAACTCATGGCAACCCCGTCCATGGGGCATTCCAGGAAAAAGATTTAAGATTTTAAAAAATCAAAGTTTGATATTTAAAAACCAGAATAAAAGTTGGTGTAGGAACCTGTGGTAGCTCTTGGCAAACCTGCCTAATCATTTCCTTATTCTTGCAGCTGGAATCCAGCCAGTCTACAGACCATTTCGACCGTACTGACTCACCACCAGCTGTGGAAATACCATTTCCCTCTGACACCACAGATGAATGCCGATCTGAGGGAAAGGAAGAACTTGAACTGGTATTAAACACCATCCTCTTCTCGTCCTGGAAGTAAACAGCATATTTTGTCCCAAGTAGCTGAAGAGATATTTGTTGGGATCACCCTTTTCAAGATCCTTCCAAAAATTTCCCTGAACCAAATTTAGATTTATATTCCCAAACACAAAAAGGAATAATTTGTGCAGATAGCAATATAATTGATGTGTACCCTGGCAGCCCTTTTGCTTGTGATTAGGGACAGCCATGAACCGGAAGAATGTGTTTCATGGTTCATGGTACAGTTTGCTGCCTCCCAAACCCCATTGAAAGGGACCACAGTCCCTTTCAACGGGGTTTGCAGAAAGCGAAAAACAGCTGAGCAACAGGAAGCCGCCTACTCCCTGCCACTTACCTGTTTTAGGCTGTCTTGTGCAGTCTCTTTAAAGTTTAAGGGGACTGCACAAGACAGCCTAAAACAGGTAAGTGGCAGGGAGTAGGCGGCTTCCTGTTGCTCAGCTGTTTTTCTGCTTTTGTGGGGAACAGAAAGCAGGGGTTTAAAGGGACTCAGAGTCCCTTTAAACCCCTGGTTTCTGCTCTATCCATGAATAGCCACAAACTGCTTTAAAAGTTTGTAGAAGTTGTCACAAACTTCTGTTTGGGAACCACAAATGGAAAAATTTGTGACGAATTTTTCTTCGTGGTTCAGTTCATGCCCATCCCTACTTGTCACCATATGTATTTGTGACGAACAAAACTGCTTTGTTATAGGCAGGCAAGTTATATGTTTTGTTACTGCTTTGTGGCAACAGTTAATCATGCAAACAGTTGATCTTAGTAATATTTGACAATAATGCTGGTGACTAGGACATGGCCAATGTCTTCCGTAATAGGAACTCTTAGTATAAAATGCAGTTGTGAAGTAAACATAATAATCATGGTTGTGTGACCATTTCACTGTGAGCCCAGAGCTTGGTTTCTTTTGAATACGTTCCCATGGTTTTTACGAGTCCCTTGTAAGGCATTTGTACTTCTTTTTTAAATTATTTATTAAAACAAAATATTTAAGAATACAAACAGTGGAAGTAGGAAATTGGCAATTTTGGTTGGTTAAAATAATATCAAATGTTTACAGTAATAACATCCAGCACTAGAGGTCCTCATCAGGAACCATTCATTTCAAGTTTTCAAGTACTATGCAAGTTACTCCACTCAGGAGTGGGCACAAGAGATGAGACAGGAGTTTGTACTTCTGTGGTCAGTAGTTGCCTCTAGCATTTGGACAAATGGAACATTTACCCAGGATGCTGGTTCTGCAGCAGGATCTAGCAGACAGCACTTTGCTGGTCCCACCACTGTTACTGGGTTATCAGCTGCTGACGGAAAGCAGGGGCACTTGGATGTTGATTGCTGGTCGTGTTCCATGTTACCCGCCAAGCATCGTCCCTTTAATAATAATAACAATAACAACAATAATAATTTTATTTAAGCATCATCCCTTTATTTGCTGTTGCAGGATGTATGCATGAACCAGAAGAAATATCTGGGCTGCGCTTAAAGGCCAAGAGAGCAGTAATTGAGAGGATGTGGGAGGGAGGTAATGCTTGGATCCAGCAGTCTGCTCGAAGGAAGATCTCAGCTCTTCTCTGTTTTCTCTGTCCCTAGCAGCCATTTCCAGCTCCAGGAAAGTTAATTCCAGGAGTTGCAGGACCTGTGTAGCAAGATGGCCACACAGGTCAGTGAGCTGTAGTGAAGAGGGGAGAGGGAACAAAATCTTCTGTCAGCAGAGCTCCACCAACAGAAGAAGCAGGAAAGGTGATCTTGCCCCCTTCCCCCTCCTCATTATAGCTCATCAGTCGGCACAGCTGTAACTCTATGCTGGTCCTGTGACCCCCAGAATCAAATGTCCAGGTACTGGAAATGTCTGCTGGGGAGAAGAAAAAGCAAGGAAGATCCATGTATGAGAGCTCCTTTTGTTTTTGGATTGCTGGATCCACCTCAGTGGGTAGCATAAATGGTAATGTGGAGATTGTGTGGATCTAGGCCCCCTGCTTGTGCACCACCCAATCATTTATGCTTCTCAGAATATTATAACCCTGATTCCTTTTGAAAACTCTGTAGACCCAAATGGGAGGCAGCCATGAGGACACAGATTGTAGTCAGGCCTGTGATGCTCTAGCTGGTGGCACTTCTGCCCTTCCAGTTATTCCCAGTGATGTTCATTCGGTACCTGTGCTGGTGAGTGGAAAAGAGACTGCGCAGGTAAGAATCACAGAGACTCCTGTATGTGTTGCTGGTGCTGGTATGGGAATTGTAGCAGTCTTTTTAAAAGCTTAAATTGAAGAGTGCATCTTTTTCCCAGACAGCAACTGTCTTTTTAATCATTAATTCACAAACATTTTGATTCCATTTATTTGATTGGTGTTACTTAAATGATTTCTTTGTTTCCTCAAAAACTATAGTGAATTACATAATTTTGTTTTGGTTTTCTTGTTAAATGTGACAGCCAGCTACCGGTTTCCTGACTATGAACTAATCTCTTCCTACATCCTTCAGTCCCTAGCCTGGCTTAAGTACAGCTTTTATACTATATCTTACAAGTAACCAGCTTTCTGACTTGGATTTCATGCCTTCATGTTCTCTCTATTCCCCTCCTCACTAAGTCTGTGTCCCTGGAACATTTAAAGCTAGAGACAGTCTCAGTGTACATCCCAGTATGACCTATGAGGCCATCACCAAGCTGGGCAACCCCACCACTGGAACAGCCAGAAGGAGGTCCTGGGACGGTGACGGCCTCATAGGTCCCGCTGTGGCTGTCGAAGCGCACCAACTCCTGCTGGTCATAGATGTACCTGTACCTCCCCTCGAGTCCCATTGGTGTAGTGTTACTCGGCCTTTTGGTGCAGGAAGTGGGCAGCTGTGGGGGTGGGTAAGAGAGGGGTCAGGGGGTGGGCTGCTGGCCAGGCCTTGGGCGGGGTGTCATTTTTTTCCATGAGGTGGACGCCTTCTGCAGCTACAGGGCTGTTCACGAGGGAGGGGCAGGGCAGCAGGCCAGCGGGGTGCCCTCCTTAAGATGGGGGATTGAATGAAAAGGAGCGGGTCGAGAGTGTGGACCCAGGACTGGCAGAGGGAGAAGGCAGGGTGCTGCCGAAGGGGGTGGAGCAGGGTGACTGCCGTGACTGCCGTGACTCTTTTGGAGGGGGTGGGGCAGCAGGCCAGCGTGGCGTCCTTCTCAGGTGGCGCCCTAGGCAGTTGTCTTACCCTGCCTTATGGAAGCTCCGGCCCTGGGTGGCTGTCATGGTGAGTCAGGGTACGCATGTGCATATAAAAGAGATTGCCCCATGCCCCCCCCCAATTCCCACCTGTTATATAGAGTAAATGCCATCACTCAAGCTTTTGTCCTTTTCCTCATTTACCAGTAGAGGCTGGTCAAGGCAGATGCTACTCTGTTCCCTCCCTTGGTTCTGGCCCTGGCCCTGGCTTGAATGCTGCTAATGAGATCTCTATATCTTTTAACCCTTCCTGCTCCAGCTGGGGTGGGTTTCCCTTCACACAATCCTGAGTTCGGGGATTGGTGTCCCATGTGGGCCACTTGGCGTTCTTTTCTCCGATCAACGTGGAGTGCACGTGTCCATCCTTTTTTGTTCCACTCAGGTCATTCAAATAGTAATCCATCTTGCCCCTTCCTGGCATCTGGGCAAATGGGTATCTCCTTGCAGGATACTTATCCCTGTTTAGCTGGAAATTTCCCTGGGCAAGAGTGTTCTTCCCTGAGATTGGTGTCATTTGGGTATAATTCAAGGATCTTGCGCTCCCTTGTCACATCAGGGAGCAAAGAGACTTTCCCATAACTAGAAACTTTATAAAGATAGGACATGATTTCAGTATAAAGGAAAACCTCAGTCCTGCATGGTCACTTCATTGCTACCTTCATCCTCCTGTCTCATGTCATTAATCTTTCTAGCCTTACTTCTGGGAATCTGAATCGTCTCTTCATGCCCCAGAGTTTAATTGGAGTGATGGTGGCAAAGGATGGGCACCTGAGGATTACCAGGAACCATCCTGGGCTCTGGATAAAGCTAAAAAGTGTGGTGATGTTTCAGAACCTGAGAGAAATTTGGTAAGTTGGAAAAGGGGGAAATGGGAAGCTTCTGTAGGTTATTTTTGTGTCCTATTCAACCACCTCAACTTTCCCTGCCAGGTGCTATCTCATTCCTCATTTCATTCTCGCTACTCTTCTGATCGAAGTCCTGATACTGGAAGTGTGTTGGAATGCCGTTCTTCTTCATCAAGGAGTCGTCATAACAGTGATTCAAAGCATTCTAGCACACAAAGGACCATAAAATGTTTGCGATCCCCTCTGAGGCAAGGCAGCCATTCGAGATCCCCTCTGAGACGAAGGTGGCATTCGAGATCCCCTCTGAGGCAAGACCGCAGCCATTCGAGATCCCCTCTGAGACGGTGGCATTCGAGATCCCCTCTGAGGCAAGACCGCAGCCATTCCCGGGACTCAAGCAGATCATCTGGGTAGCTGACCATTATGTTCTAGCAACTGAGTAGTGTTTGGGTTAGATTGTGTGCTGGTGGTACTATACCCTGCCTTCTGCATGGCGCTTAAAAATGAACCATGTAAAACAGTGAGATGGGTGGATAGATTCAAGGTGGCAACTTTCAGAAATGTTTTAATCTGAATAGATGTCAGTCTGAACCTAGGGCTACTTTTGCACTGCATGTCTAAACTGATCTAAAGACAGTTTATCTTCCCCAGCAAACCCTGAGAATGCAGTTCTTGAGGATTCTGCAATTTTTTTTAATAATCACCTTAGTTTCCCAGCAGACGTAGCTGCAAGAATTTTTGGGGTGTAGGGAAGCAATATCAGTTTACATTTGGAATGTAGATAGGCCTTGTGTCAGGCTCTTGACAGCTTATTTTGTGTAGCAAACTGCTATTTGTCTTGAATACAGATGGGTGCATCTGCTCAAGTGAGCTGTGTGCTTGTTTTCTACAGGGGGAGAGAGATAACCAGGACAGATTATTGCAGTAAATGTCACTGTAAGTGTTGCCAAAAGAGGTTCCGGGAGAGAGTGCTTCCTCACTCTTATTCAACTCCTAAAATGCATCGCTACCATCCCTCCAAAGGTTTGTTTTTCTCAGGCTTCAGGTTTTGTGTCTGAAACGGTTTAGAATTATAAACCTTCATGTCTTGAGTAATGGAACTTGGTTTCATTGTCTCCAGGGGTGTATGTGTGTAGTGAAAAGGTTCCCATCCAATCTGTTTGCCTGTTGGATGTGTCTCTAATCTTTCTGACCCAGTTATATCATCAAGGATCTGCTTAGTACACAGAACTTTTGTCAAAGCAGGATCCACTCTGACAAAGTTACACTGTAACTGCAAACCTTGAGCTGATATCTGGGGTCTACTGGGGTATTCTCTTGGTACAAGTTTGGAGAGTACTGAAAAGGATAAGAGGTCCTGAGCAGAAGACTATCTAATTATTTCTCTGCTCTCAGAGCAGAAAGGTGGTTTGCCCTCCTTGTCCACAAAGCTATCTGACTTCTCTTTGCTCTGTTATGCAGAAACCAACAAATCCTACAGAACATCACATTCCTACTCTCCAGAGAACTCCACAATGGTAAGAAAAGACAATCATATTTAGTGGTGTGCAGAACAAAAAAATCATGTCTGATTTAGAATTACAGCTGCATGTTATTTAAAAATTGAGGTTTGACTCTCTAACATTGTAAATAAAGTTGATTGTATTCCAAATCAATTCAATATACCAGTGGTTCTCAAACATTTTGATGCAGGACCCACTTCTACACTTTTAAATTTACTGTACTTTTTGGGACCCACTTGCAAAGTAAATTGATGCTACTTTCTCCCTCCCCCACATAAAAAGTAGGCATCTCTCACATCAGTTTACAAAGAACAAGTTTATATTTTATGATTCATGTAAATACACAAGTAGGGAGCCCCAAGAAATTCACAAGGGAGGAGGAATTTGATGGCAGTGGCATCCCACTTCAGCCCCATTCACTCACACCTTTGCCTATGATTCACAGGGGAGTGAGGATGTGGCTCCTCCTCCCCTGCCCTCTTCTTTGCCCACCGACAATGGAGGCTCTTTCCCCCCCATATGCCTGCAGTGGGGGCAGCCAGCTACTGCTGCTCCTTCTGACTTGTTTGGCCAGCTGACTGGCGCAGCGGCAGTGGCTCCAGCTTTTCCTTACCTACCTGCCCATCTGCCCATCTCCCTGGCTCATGGAGCTCCTCCTTCCTTTGAAAAAATGTCAGTCAAGATTCACAGGACAGCGTCACAAGATTTTAGTATCTGTATTAAAACTTGTTTTTAATTTAAAAGTTGTATTTTTCTGCAAAAAAAATCTGTAGACAAATGCCTCCTTTCTTTATATACCTGGCCCAGTTTTCTGGGTCTATCAATTTGCTCAGGAGCAGGTTCAGAATTATAGTATTATTGAGAAATAGCCTGTTTTTCATGGACATTTCACACATTACGCAGAGGCGTATCCAGAGTCTCCTCTTCCAGCTGTTCCTTTTTCTCCATCCCAGTTGAATGATCACTCTGAAAGTGTGTCACAACCCATTTTGGGGTCCTGTGATGTATTTTTCCATTAGTCTGAATGAGAAATACAGTTCCAAGTGAAATCCCACCCCCATTGTAGTGAAATTTGTAGGGTTTGTTGGCCTCATTGAAGGGAGCCTTGCTTCCACATTTCTGGAAGATGGCAAAATCCAAGTTCTACAGACAGTTAAACTTCTCACTTGCGTAGCAAGCTCAGGCAGCCATGAATTTGTATGGGAATGAGCTTTCCCCCTCTTTCTTAGAATCCTCGAGCACAAAGGTGGAAGAGTCTGCTGTTGTTTATTTTTTAAAAAGCAGCCTGCAGGCAAGGGAACCTAAGCCCTGCCCCCACACCTTCCTTTGATCGGCTCCATTTCTTCTGGCTTTTCCCCCAGCCCAACTGTTTTTTCCTGTGTTTTTCACAGCCCACTCACAGGAGTAACATACAGAATGCCAACCTTTTCTCTAAAAATAGAACACCCCACGTACTTTATATTCGAACAGATAAGGTTGCCTCTCCCCCCTCCCTCTGTGGGGGGCTAATGACAGGTTGTTGGAAGGATCTTGCTTAGAACTTTCACATGAAATTACAAACATTGATAGATCTCTGATCCTGAATCAGTGATTTTCTCTCATACAGAGAGAGAGAGAGAGAGAGAGAGATGATCTGATCCTTTCTCATAACTGATTCACCTTTTCTGGTTTGGTATTTACTGTTGAGGGTGCAGGAAATCTTAGCCTTTGCTCAGGAACTACCTCAGGAACTTTGCTGAGTGTGTAGTATATAAGAAGGGTAATAATAAAATCTGACCCTTCTTGGTTCTATTCTCCGTGCTGGTGGGCTCCTGTCACTGGGTTAAAGTCTGAACATTTGCTTCTATTTGCCCCCCACATACAACTCTGCAGTACTGCCTGCCTGCCTGCTAGTACAAGGAAGCCTTTGCGAGGCTGGTTCTTCTGCCTATCATGGTGGGGGGATGAAGGACAAACTGTAGCCTGTGTGCTTCTGTCCTGCCCATGCTCCCCATCAGTCCTGCCCATTTCTCAACAGATACAAGCAAAACCCTTTCCCTGCTTGCCTAGCAAGCCAGCAACAAGGACCCATGGTTATAGAGAATTTAAAAAAACCTTAGGAAGCCACGGATAGGTTGTGGAATGATTGGTGGAAAGTGGTAACACTGAGGACAAAAAAGCCAGTCAGGCTGCTTCTGATTCTACTGTACGTGTCACACACACTGCTAATGAGGAGTTGTACTTCCCCACACTGTCCCAGCACCTTCCACTGTTAATACAGTGATTCCTGAACAGTATAGCCTACATTTTGTCCTGCTTTGTCTCTGCTTGGAAATTCAGTTGGCACTGTTGTTGCATAGTCCACAATCTGGGATAGTAACATCTGTTGGGGTGATTTGAGTCCTTATGAGGGACTGTGGCTCAGTGGTAGAGCATCTGCTTTACACGCAGAAGGTCCCGGGTTCAGTCCCAGGCATTTCCAGCTAAAAGGACCAGGCTGTAAGTGATGTGAAAGACCTCTGCCTGAGACTCTGGAGGGCTGCTGCCAGTCTGAGTGGACAATACTGATCTTGATGGACCCCACTGGTCTGATTCAGTATAAGGCAGCTTCATCTGTTCATATATTCATATATAAAGCCGGTCCTTGTCATATACAGCATATTCAGATACTGATAACTCTCTCTCCTGCTGCCCCCTGCCACTGCCCCATGAAATGGAAATCACAGACAAGAAAAAAGAAATCAGCACGCCAAGAAGAAACGAAAAAAGGGAGATCAGCCTCAGTGAAACGAAAAGGGAGATCAACTTCAGTGAAACAAGTAAAGTCTTCCAAGGTAACTGAAGATGGTCCTTGATTTCTAGGGGTTTCCCATAATGCAGATATATCTTAAGGTGGTGTGGGTATAATTTTCTTTTTTGTATATTTGGTCTGATGTCCAGACAGAAGTCAAGCCAAAGGAAGGTTCAAGTGCTTGATGGAAGGTAAGTTCTTTGTAGTGGTGCTGAAGTGTTAGAGAGGAAAGCAAGAGAAAAAGAAAAGAGATGCCTTTTTAGGCTTCTGTAGAGGCAGCCAGTGGCAAACCACCTCTGTTTGTCTCTTGAAAATGCTATTGGGTTACCATAAATCGGCTGTGACTTGATGACACTTTCTGTCACATTCAGCTTTTGCATTTGGACGTTTAAGAGAACACTGTGTTTATGGCAGTTGCAGGAGTTCAGCTTCTCCGTGGCACAGAGTTTTTCTCTTAAACTCCACTCTCTTTGTCTGGCAGATATTCTACCACTATGGTGGTAATATGTAAGGTGGCAAGTGCCTGCACTTTTGGCATGAGATTTTGAAAATGCTTGCCTTTTGGCAAATAGGGTTTCCTAAATGGTATGAGTCCAGTAGCTAATGCCTTTTTTTTTTTTTGGGTATGAAAAAATTGTAGTTCAGCAACTGAAAAAAAATGCTAGTTCTGCAACTGTTTAGGCCTTCTTGAGCCTTAAAAGATGTAGTTATCAGTGATTTAAAAAAAGCCTAGATGTTGCCACAGAATAACACAAGCTTATCTGCTAGAATGGGGGCAATTAAATCATAAATTACATCCCAGGAAGGGGAGAGACAGCTATATGGGAATGTTTAAACTGACAAAAAAAAATGAGCTTCAATTTCAGTTTGCCCATTTGGCCAATCTGTCATGTGCCATGATGGATCATCACTAATTTCCCCACTTGGTACTTTAAGATCTGTTGTTCAGACTTTTGAATTGGTTAGTCAAGAGCAGACTGGGGGGTGGATTTTGGTCCAGCATCCCTGAATGCTTATTGGGCTAGAAAAGAAACTCCCAGGCTACAGGAAAATGTATAAAATTGTCGGCCTGTCTTGGAGCGGCATTGTCAAGAATCTGACAGGCCCTTTCCCAGGAGGGGAGTGCTGAGGCTTGTAGTGAGAAATTTTGAAATGTAGAGGTTTGGGTTAGAAAATGAACCACATTTATATATTAATGCATTTTACCTGTAGCTTCAGTAACAGGCCTGACCTGCTCTATTGAACCAAACCCCATGGTTCTTGGCAAATTCCCTTTTAGGCAGATACCTTCTTGCTGTCATGTACGCAGGAAGACCCACACATTCCATTCCCAGGACCTGAATGAATGTAAACGACCATAGTGTGAGAAATCCAAAACCTTAAAGTAATAAAATGTATCTGGCAGGAAAAACCAAATGGTAAAAAGAAGCCATCAAAGTAATTGACTTCAGAGATATAAAGATTCACACCCCCATTTCCATCTTGTCATGAATGTTTTATCTTCAATATTGGGAACACAAAGAATACAGTGACATAAACATCCTTAGAGTGGTAATTCAGAAGTTAGGGTGTTATCTGACTTTGTTCTGTAAACAAAATGTAACTTGGAATGTGCGAAGCAATCTCCTGTTCATTGATGTGCCACCAAAATGTCAATTGATGTAATTAACAAATTGAGAAACTCTTTGATCAGCCTGTATAAATTAGGCTGGGATTCACCAGTTCTTCACTGGCTTTTGGAATCTTGGGGAGACGCTGTCCCTCCAGAGACTTGAAGTCAGCTCAGAGGCCCTCCGCAGCACGCTTTCTAATGGGGGATTTTTGTTTGCTTATCCATGTAATTTTGTTATCAGCATTTAGGAAATAGAACTATATTGTGTTCTGCACCGGACCAAGCGTCTTGCCTGGCCAGTTGCCTAGATATCTAACCTTGACTAACTCTCTTAATAAAAACAGGAATTTATTTAAGAGACCTTGTTTGAGTGTCTCTGCAAGCTCTTTGGCGATCCTCACACACACATCACGGCCTTTAGTAAGAGGCATCACACAGAGGTCTTTACCGAGGGAGGGTAGGCGACACGTATGTAGACACGTGTTGCTCAGTTTTCTGCCATCAAGGCTCTTTGTAAATATAGGAGTATTTAGCAAGGTGTCTTTTAATATTTCATTTCAAGACCTTGCTTAAGGCTGTTTGTCTACTGATTGATCCCAGTTATCTGTGCTTTCTAAGATGATTAATAAAAGTTTCTTTTATATATGATTTTTGGGTGTGAATTGACTGCTTAGAAAATCCGACCCATGACTGACTCTCCTTCATCCCCAACCCCCCCCCCCCCACCTTTTGGTGTTCAAGACAGTCAGGATCAAATTATAAAAGGGGAAAGGGGAATTATCAGGATGGGTAGCAGTTTAACTTCCAGATTAACAACCCCAGGCAAAGGGGAATTACCAATAGTTCTGACATCCCTAATCCTTTCTTGCTGAGTTTGCAAGCTAACCAAGAGTTCAAGCACTTTTCAGCTGTCAGAGAAATCTCTTTGTTTCAAGCTACTTTCATCTTGGACAATTAGTTGAAACAGTTAAATAAAAGTTAGATTATTCGCTTTTAAAATAAAGTTATTTTAATAGAGTTGAGATGGGGCCTTGTTATGCTATATCGGATGTAGTTTATATGCACCTGCTGATTGGCTTATTTGCACTTATGTTGATTATTTCATATTTAGTCATGAACCAATCAGTTATCTAGATAATAATCACATGATTATAATAGTACAGATTTAAGCGAAAGATTTATATTTTTCTATAAATATGTCCTGTGACAAGCAAATCAGATTTCTCAAGATGGAACTTTCAGAAGAAGACTAGGTGAGATCTTTTGGTTGGTAACTTTGGCTTTTTGATAATCCCTAAAAGCAGTGAGACAAAAGCTGAAGTCTGCTTTTTTTTAAAAAAACAACCTATTACTTTATAATATGATTAAACAATGCTAGGCACTTCAATAATTTTAGCATTTATCTTCACAGTAACTGTAGGGCTAACTTTTTTATGCCTGTATTTTTCTCTGTCTTGCTCAATAAAAAGAGTAACTTTTTATCTCAATAAAAGATAAAAGTTTCTACAGGTGTTCTGTCTGGTTTGCTGATTACATTTCAAAGAACTGAACTCACCCCCTTACTCTTTTGTATTATCAAAGGTAGTTAATCAATCTTTAATAGGTAAATCCTAGAGAACCTTGCTGCTAAACAGTTTTACAGAGGCAAAGCCTTTACAAGTGTTTAGTTCAGGTCCTTTAATTGGATGCAGGAGGGAAGCTCTCATTACAGGGAGATGGGAAGGAAAAAAAATTTAAACAACCAAACCCCCTTAGTTCTCCAGTGGTTCAGTACGTGGGACAGTCCTCACACTTGGGATAAGCTCCACCCTCCTTCGCAGGGTCGGCTCTGGGCTTTGATCCAGGCAGGGAGGGGCTTATCCCCTGTAGGCCAAAGAGAAGAAAAGAAGAAGGAAGACGGCAACCGCGTTCTTGGAGAGAGAGAGACGCGGAACCTCTTAAAAGAGCTTAACTGGGCTGGGAAATTCCTAGCAGCCGCGGCTCTTTAACGCCTCGTTAGGACTCCCGCTGGCCTTACCTGCCTGGGGGCAGAGGGCCTGCTCCTAATCGGCCGAGGGAGCGCGGTAGAGTTGGAGTCATCACAGGAGGACGGGGCCAGAGGCTCTGTGACACCTTCCCCCCACAAGAGCGGACGACAAAGGAGGCGTCGGAAGATTATAAGCTCGCCTGAATCGCGGTAAGGCCTGGCGTCTCTCTGTTAGCCTCCTTACTCCCGAGTAACCTTTCTCTGGGACGGGAGAACAGATGAACAACCCTTGCCAGAGATAGCCCGGCGGCCAGGATGAGGTGGGGATGAATTATCCTAGGAGTAGAAGTCTTCCCCCCTCCTGGAGTTAGTTTGGGATGAGAAGGTTTCTGGCGGGAAACCGCTAATGCTGGCCATTTCGGTTTCGTTTCTCTGTACCAGCCGGGGAGGGGGGGAATAGCTTATAAGCATAAGTTTCCCCGGAATTGACACGGAATTTAACAGGTCCTGTTTTTTCCTTTACTGGGAGGCTTATTTGTATCAAGTAAAGGAGAGAGGGGCCTGGAAAACCTGACGGGGGTTTTTTTGTTCAATCCTCCCCACAGGTTAAGGGAAATGACTGACAGGGCCAATCCGGGCAGGTCTCAGGACAGAGACAGTCCCCTGGGAGAATTAAATATCCCCAGATCATCCGTCTCTTTGTCATCTCAGGACCTTTCTGTTCCACTGAGTCAGGAAGCCAAGGAGACAGATAGGGCAGAGCTCCTGCAATGGTTTAAAGGAGAAATGCGAAGGGAGTGTAAAGAAATTATTCAGGAAACGTTATTAGGCAAAACTTTACAGCAGGAAAGAGACAGAGCTTCTAAAAGAGCCAGACCCAGCCAGAAAGAAGATTCTTCCAGCCCATCCAGATCTCCTCCTAGACCTAAACAGAAGAAACTTAGGTCTCCGATTAGGGAGCGTAGTCCTCTTTTAGATACCAGAGATGATGAGTCAGAGTCCTCCATTTCCTCCCTAGAGAGAGAGGAAGGAGAATTATCTGCGGAAGAGGAGGTTGAGGTTCCAGCAACTCAATCTAGACTCTTCCCTCAAGAGCTTTACTCTCGCCTCCTGCCTAAAGTCCTAAGAACTTTAGATCTCTCTGCGAAACCAAAGGAGGAGGCTGAACGGGAATCAGAATTTCAGACAGGTACAGGGAAATTGATGCCTAAGATTTCTGTTTCTCAACCAGGTTTACCACTCCCAGCCTCATTCTACAATATCATGAAGGCTGAGTGGGAACAACCGGCCAAACCCAAGGCTAACAATCATCTTTTCTCTAAGCTTTACTCCTTAATGCCTGAAGCTAATAGAAAACTCAAACTTCCAGTAGTAGATGACCCTGTCACTAGTCTGTACTCCAATTCAGTGCTTCCTATGGATGCAGATGGCATGCCCAAGGAACACACGGATAGGAGGATTGAACAGGCCCTTCGTAGGCTGTCCCCTTTAAAGGGGGCAACCTATTTGGAGAAGGGCTAAATAAGTATTTGATAGAGGACAGGGACAAGAAGTAGGTCCTTCCCTCCAAGAAGAGAGAGTTTAAACAAAGGAAACGCTTTCAGCCCTTTCGGGATCAGAAGAGGGGACAGAAACCTTCTTACTCCCAGACATTTAAAGGAAAATGGCAACCTAAACAATGGGGTAATAAACCCTTTGCCTCAGGAAAAGGAGAGCACCTCTCCGACAAACCCTCCAAAAAGGGAAGTTCTGCATGACTATACAAGCTCACAGAATCTGTTAGGGATAGGGGGAAGGCTACAAGCCTTTGCAGTCCATTGGCACCGGTCAGTGTCGGATCGGTGGGTCCTAGATATCGTGACTCACAGGTACAGACTAGAGTTCTCCACCTTTCCCCAACAACGTTAAGTTCAAATCCCAAAGATTTGCAATCGGTGGAAGCACACTCAAACCAAGAAAGCGATACAGCACTTATTAGAAATAGGGGCCATAGAGAAGGTCCCACCTTGCCAGATTCAGCAAGGCATCTACTCAGTATTCTTTACCGTGCCCAAGAAAAATGAAGACACCCGAGCCATCTTAGATCTCAAATGGCTCAACAGGCACATAAGAGACAGAAAATTCCTGATGGAGACGCTCAAACCCATCCTGACAGCCATACAAAAAGGAGAATTTCTGACTTCGATAGACCTGTCGGAGGCCTACCTACATATACCCATTCATGGCTCTCACAGGAGGTTTCTCAGATTTGTCTACAACAACCAACATTTTCAATACCGGGCTCTCCCATTCAGATTGAAATAATCTCCGAGGGTCTTCACAAAGGTGCTAGTGACCTTGATTGCACACCTCAGGCTGAGAGGGATTCAGCTATTTCCGTAACTAGACGATGTCCTTATAAAAGCCCCATCATATCAGTAGAGCTTACAGGCTTCACACATCACAGTGAATACTCTCAGGGACCACGGTTTTGTGGTAAACCTGGAGAAGAGCCATCTCCAGCCCACACAGAGGTTGCTGCACCTGGGTGTAGAGATAGACACTATTCAGGACTGGGCTTTCCTCTCACAGGAAAGGGAAGCGAAGGTATGCTCCTTACTATCACAGGTTCTACAGAGCCCCAAGTCAGAACTTATGCAATTAGCCAAGCTTTTGGGGATGCTGGTGTCATGCCAGGAGATTGTACAGTGGGCCCGTTTCCATGCCAGGCCTCTGCAAAGATTCCTTCTCCCGTTCCAGGGAGCAATAGCTCACTGAAGATTCAAACTATTACAGCTACTCACACCAGTACGTCAACAACTAGCATGGTGGTCAGCACCGTTCAGGTTCAGTCACGGGTCGCCCCTCAGGGATCCTCCAAGAATAGTGATGATGACACACGCGAGTCTGTCAGGCTGGGGGGCTCACTCGAGGGGTTTCATGACCCAGGGAGAGTGGTCGACTCAAGAGGATCAAGAGAGCATCAATCTCCTGGAGCTCAAGGCGATTCGCTTAGGCCTACTAAGCCTCAGAAAGCATCTAGCGGGGCACCATGTTCTGGTCCAGACGGACAACATGACTGCAAAGGCATGTCTCGAATGAGGTCCCTCCACCACGAGGCAGCCAGACTAATCTCTTGGGCCGAGATTAACTTGCTATCGCTGAAGGCCGTACACGTAGCAGGGAAGGACAACGGTCTGGCGGACTGGCTCAGCAGGAGCATATGTGAATCGTCAAGGGGGGACTCGAGTGAGGTCCCTCCACCAAGAGGCAGCCAGACTAATATCTTGGGCCGAGATTCACTTGCTATCGCTGAAGGCTGTACAAGTAGCAGGGAAAGACAACGGTCTGGCAGACTGGCTCACCAGGAAGCGAATGGACCAGTCCGAATGGGCTCTGAACAAGGCGGTGTTCCACCCACTAAGAGAAAGATTTGGAGAAATGGAGATAGACCGTTTGCGACGGAGTCCAACAGACAGGTTCCAAACGTCCTCTCCAGAGTAAAAAACTCTCAGGCAAAAGGGATTGACGCACTAAGTTGTGAGTGGCCTCCCGGCCTTCTTTATGCCTTTCCTTCATTACAGATCTTGCAAAGAGTAATTCAGAAAATCCGTCTACAGAAAGCGGAGGTGGTGCTGATAGCCCCTTTTTGGCCACAGAGAGCATGGTTTCAGGACCTTCAGAGCCTGTCCGTGGAGGACCTGTGGCCTCTTCCCCTAAGAGTGGACTTGTTATCACAAGGTCTCACGAAACACCCACACCCAGAGCTACTCAAGCTCACAGCATGGAGGTTGAAAGGGAAATGTTAAGAGAGGACGGGTACTCGGAGGCAGTAGTATCCACCATGTTGGCCTCACGTAAAACTTCCA